ATAAAATAGTTTTGGAATCCAATTTACGACTGAAAGGACTTGGTTATGATATATAACTCAACATCTTAGGTCTTGTTGCTTCTAAAACAGTTGAAGACAAGTCGTTCCAGTGCAGAAGAGATAGTTCAGTTTGTACACCACTAAGCGAATTATTTTGAGGTACCGATCCCAATTTTTTTGGTACGTCACGCTCTTAAAACCGTTTTCAACGTGCGAGAACAGAAAAGCCCTTATAGTCTATTTCAGCCCTAATAGTAACTGCAGCCTACCTATAAAAACTTAGCGTTCCATTGTGGTGAATTGTGCATTTGGGGATTATAATGAGCCTGTGAAAATGCGAAAGAGCAGATTTTTTTTTACCTGCTCGACTGTCATTTTTTGAGTCTCGCCGATCTGCTGGAGGAACTGCCTGCTCTGCAATACAGTGTCGAGGTCCTTTTCTGTGAACTGCAGGTTGAGGGAATCCATCTTCACTCTTGTCTCTTTCTCTATAATCTGGGCTCCCTTTTTCGCCATCTCCTGGTCGAATTTCTCCATCACCTCAAATTGAACAGATTCTACCGCTTTGGATGTATAGTGAATGCTATTACTCTTTAATAATTCGATCATTAATTCTACATTAAGTCAATTTAGCCTAAAATGCTCATTTTAACGTCGGAAATCAATTTTTATAAGCTTAGTTCAGATCGTTTAAAATGACGTCAAAAGTTCAGTAAAAACGCCTTTTTTGACCGACTAAGTTGCTGAAGCTAGCCGATTTTGTGAAAAATTTGGCGTTACTTGTAAATGTAATTTTATTAATGACGAATATTGGTTGACTTGAAGAGAATCTTGCGCTGAGCTCCCAAGATGATCCAAAATATAACGAACTGAACTGTTATTTATCCATCAGGATTTTTTCTTGAAGTGACTAGAAGGAAGTACGCGTAGGCTTGGTTTTATGTCGATTGGTTTTATTTATCACAAGGAAAACTCGTAATTTGTTAAGATTAAGAGTCATGAACGTAGTGATTACTCTTATATAGGTTTTTTTGATTTTTTTTTTTTCGTTTTTCAGGAAAAATTTTTCGCTGTTTTACTTCAGATTTTTTGGGTTCTGTTAAAAGGAAAGAAAACTCCACTTGAACAGCAAAAGTGTAAAGGTCACAAAAAACGTGATTGACTTCTAGTTTAGAAAATGGAACTTAATTTTCAGATTTCTCAGCGAAGCTAAAATTTTACCGATCGATCTAGTTTTCTCAAATTGGGTTACTTTAATCAAAAAAGCATCATTAATAAGTTGTTCGTGAAATTCAAAGAGCTTAATGCCATAGATTTTTCTTTGAAGTTCGAAATTTGAAGTTTTTAGTGGATCTATTGTCTTAAATGTGTGTCGTACCTGGTTGAACTCGTTGAGATTGTGCACTTCGTTCTTAAGGAACCTGCCCCAATTCTGCTGTGTTTCGCGGAGAGACATTCGCTCGCCCTCCACATGTTCCGCTTTCTGTTCCACGTCAGACTTGCAATTCTAGATGAAACAAATTCAGATGTACTTCAAACCCCCTCATATTATAACTATTATAACAACGCTCCCCCCCCCCCCCCCCTCCCAAAGGAGAGTCTCTTAATAAAAAGACCGATGCTCTTTTCCATTTGGAAAAAATTAATTCGACATTGGCATAATGCAATAAAATTTGGCATGGTGAAGAAACTTACGATTGTCAATAGATTTGTTCTTTACCCTTGCAATAAGCAAGGGTAAAGCAATCGGGTACTGGACTTTTTCTTCCCGTAAACAACTTTGTTCACAGGATTCTTCTCATCTGGACTCATTTCCTTGAAGTCTTTTGGCACCCAATATACCGCTACAGATATATTTTGTACTTATTGGAATATTAAATATCTGCTCTGTTCAATTTTTTTATGTCGTAATTTTACCAACTCGATAGTTTCATGTAAATTCATATTTTGTTTTTTTTTTCCTTTTCTTTTTTTCGGCTTGATAGGTTTCGGTCTATATTATATCATCATATTGCGTCGTTCGAGGAGAGAAAAAGTTTTTTTTTGTGTGTGTGTGTGCGTGCGTGTGTGTGTGTGTGTGTTTGTGTTTTGACGGTGAGGGCGACTTTATAATTTTTTTGTTAGTCTTTAACTCTTTTGAAATTTTTTTTCTGCGTTGTTTTTTGGGCTTAATAGGTTTTGGCTTGTTTTCTATCGGCTTAAGGACCTCATATCATCTGACGGGCGAATATGCGTTTGTGTGTTAAGGGTGAGGGGGACTTAATAAAATTTTTAAAATTTTTGTTGATTTTTTTTTTCAGCTTAAAGGGTTTTTGCCAAGGTGTTTTCGGCTTTGTTACCGCTTGGTAATTTTTCTTTCGATGCAAATTTTACATTTTATTGTCATGGCTTTTTTCGTTTAAAAATTAGCTCTTCGTTTTGATAGAACTAGTTTTTTGAATTTTTTTCTTGTTTCAAGCAGCGGCTTTCTTGTTTTGAATCTCAAGTGGTGCGAAGCTCAGCATCGCCTCTGTGTCATACCTTACATCGTAACATAACGCCTCAATAACACGATGAACAACTATAAAAACAGAAATTTTGTAAGGTGGGGGGAGGAAAGTTAAAAAAGCCAAACAGAACTCATCATTAAAATATTTGAAATGTACGACGGCTTAGTTATAATCAGAATTTTGGACAATCCACAATTTTTTATGAGCTCAGGTTTTTCTGCCTTTTTTATCATGAGATTAGCCAATGCTTTGATTAAAGTGCGAAATAATTTTATAATACTTAATAGCTTCTCTCGATTGCATTTCGATGAGACATACCGAGAACTAGAGCAGCACATCATTTTATATGAGGCAAATTTTCGGAAAATTTTGTTAGTTGATATTTGCTGACCGGGTAAAGCAATAGATATGCGTTTGGCTGAAATTAGCTCTGCAATTGAAGTCATACCTTGATAGCTGACTGTAGATCATTGATATACACAGAGTGCAGGAAGTTCTGTCGTCTATTGTCCAATCTCTCGTGAAGTGGAGGATTTCTTGAGTTGGACGATGCTCCAAGTGCACCTGCGGGTCTTTTTAATTAGTCCATCTTAAGTATATCACGAGAAAAAACTAAGGCAACTAGAGAAATGTCATCAAAAACTCATTGAATAGATAACCAATGTGTTATTTTTGTCCAGAGGTTTGTTGCATGTTATTGTGTTTAAGAAGTTTTTGAAAAAATATATCAATAAAAAACCACAAGAACAAGAATAGCGTATTGCTGAACAAGTAGCACAGAATGTTCCGACCATATTTTTACAAAAACTACTGTTTATTTTTCAATTTGCATCGTTTTTTGTTTTGGTGCGCCGAGAGAATCTAAAATAAAGCCTAGAAGTTTAATAGCAAATTAGGTACATTTGACAATAGTTGTTCATAACATAAATATTAAACTTAAAAAATTTTTTGCAAATATTTAGCATTAACTTTTTTTACTCGTTCTTAAACTTTTATTCCCAAGAATTCCCGAGAAATATTTTCATGTGGCAAATTTTGCTATTGTAAGCCAATTACAATCTGCTCTCTCGCTTTATTTACTCGAAATTAGACGAAAAGTTTCGAACCGGTTTTTCTTGACACTGGGAAATTTTTTTGGAAGTTTTTTAATGTCGTTCGAAGCACGACTGAAAAGACTTTAATAAGATATATCACTTAACTCATTCCGAGAATTATTTGAGGAACCTGATTTGTGGAAAACAAAAAAAACCAAAACACCCGATTACTAAGTTCTCCATTTTCAATGGCCGGAACAAAAGCTCTTTTTAAAGGCTCCAACTGAGAATTCTTTTAGAGTATTGTTAAGTTTTTAAATTGCGCAAGAAAGAAGGCTAAAATTGCATCTCTCTTAAAATGAATAAAAAAATTCAAGTGCTAACTGGTATAGTCTGGATCAAAATTGATCTAAAATTGTTACTAGTTACTTTTGTCTCGATCGATTAAAGCATAAAATGTGCTCAAAAGTTTGTGTTCACACAAGGATTGAAAAAAGTTTAATCACAAGATTTGGAAAGAAAAATGTTTGGTTGCGTTACTTTTTTTTCAGTAAATTTTTAGGGTTGTTTTGACCTTGAACGCTAATGAATATTAGTGATGTTTGAAGTTCTAAGTTTGCCACTTAGTAGTTCAAACATTAAACATATTGAAAAAAAAAACATGTCAATTTTTCCAACAGATGGATGCAGATAAAAAGACCCGTGCCGGCTAATCGGCTGCTGCTCGAACTCACAATTGAGTATCTCTTCGGTTGAGACATTTAAATTAAGTCTTGACTTGTGATCTTTAGTTCATAAGGTAGTATTATGATGGAATTGAGTGTTAGGATGTAGTTATTTAACGAACTCATGAATTGACAAAACTGTGCGTTAATATAATGTTTTTTTTTTGTTTTTCCTGGTGATTTCTCATTCTGCTGTTAAGGACAAAAGCAGATAATAAGTTGAGTGCAATCAGTCATAAGTTGTTATGAGTTAAATCATTAAAATCTCTTTTCTTTCGTTAAAAGCTCACCGGACCAAAAGAACCATGTACTCTCCCTAAGTCAATTTTAGGAGAGATTGTTCACTTCGCATAAAATATTCTTGTTGACATGTTGCATTAATTTGCCATTTGTTTCTAGGAGAGATATCGTTCATTTGGTAAATTTAGGGTGATTTGGAAAACCAACACACTAGATTTTATACTCCTCGTTGTTAAGTGGTGATTAATTCTCCGTCTCTCAATCGAAAGGTCGGATGTTCGAAGCCCACCATGATCCTTGCTCGTTGCTTAAGGATGAGGCAACATTACCCAGCCCAGAAAAAAGGCAAAATAATTGCATGTAATTCTTAAGCAGGGCCAACGTCTCTCCGTGAAAAGCTGAGCAGCTCGCATGTTGGGTTTTGCCCTTGTGGACAAATTGTCTTAATCGTATGTTTAAAATGTACCCTTGATAAAGCCCTTAATTATATTTGGGGTGTTTTTTGCAGATATCTGAATGTCAGCAAATGGCGGCTCATCTTCGAGTGGACAGGAAACAAACGGAGCTGAAGATCAACCGGCTTCAAACTCAGAGGCGACTACAAACACACAAAACATATCAACCTCTAGAATAAACAACAACAGCAATGTAGCTGCTACTTCAAGCGAACCGCAGAGTACGAACAGTGGCATAACCGCATCGGCGTTGGATCCGTTCATAAGCAACGTTACCCTCCGACAAAACAACAGCAGCGCCACCAACACCAGTCTAAAGCACATCACAGATTACTTACGCAAGACAGACGACCTTCTCTACAACAATCTAACGCGCGTAGATCAGGTTTTGACTCTTCTGAACACAAATGATAACTCAATAGCAATTGCTCAAGTTCTATGGGCTAAATTGTCTAGTTTACCCTTGGATGCAGACCTATTGAACACTGTTGAGCCTCTAATTGTACAGACAGTGAGCTTCCTGAAAGAAGCTAATTACTCTGATTTTGAAGTCCAAGGCCTTGATCTGTTTTCAAGAATGGTTAAAGTGTTCGGCAACGTGTTAGTATCTCGAGAAAGAGCTCAAATTGGACTTCAGCCGATTAGAAACGTAATCAAAATTATGAGAAGGGAAGGCGAATTTATAAGCGTGCTTACTACTTTCTTATACTTATGTTTAAGAAGTAACAATTTCAGGCCGGCTTTCGAGATTTTGGATTCAGACATCGTTGAAATTCGCCACGAAGGTCCGAAAAGCGATTTCGTCGACATCATTTTGTACTTTTACTACGGCGGCGTTTGCTACTTGGCTGCTAAAAATTACAGTCGAGCCAATTTGTTTTTCGAAATAGCAGTTTCAACGCCAGCAACTGCTGTTAGTAAGATAATGGTTGAAGCCTACAAAAAATATCTGCTAACTTCATTTATTTTGCACGGAAAGTTGAAAGGATCACCTGTTAAATCGTCGCCTTCCAGTAACATTTTTCTCAGGTCTGTTAAAAGCTCAACTCAAGTTTACAGCGATCTTCTAGATTGTAAAACAGTTGCAGATTTGAATGAATCTCTTAGTAGGAACGAAACCGCATTCAGAGAAGACGGAAATTATGGCCTTGTGAAGCTATGCATTGTGTCGATGTATAAACGAAATATTCAAAAACTGACCAAAACGTTTATAACTTTATCTCTGGCCGATATAACCAGTACTGTTAAGCTGGAAAACACCTCGCAAACTGAGAAATTTATCACGGAAATGGTGAACGAAGGTCAAATTCAGGCCAAAGTTAATCACGAGCAGGACATGGTGTATTTTTCGGATAATTCCGAACAGAGAAACGGCGAAGAAGCTTTGCTCAAATTGACGGAACAGATTTCAAAATGTGTTGAAATAAATGCGAAGTTTCGTGAACTAGATGACGCAATTAAAACGAGTGCACAGTACCAGGAGAAACTTCAGAGAACGTCTTCGGCGGGAGAGGCAAATACGTGGGATTTCTCGGCTATGACATAAACACTGGACTTCTGAAGAATTAAGTGACTTGAGTTAGAACTGTTGATGGAATTTGTCTGCTTCTAGTTCAGAAATAACATAAGGCTACCAAAATTAATCTTTATCTACGTTTAAGATTGTTATGCGATAAAAGCTTATAATAGGAAAATAATTTTACAGAATGTATAAGACAAATTCGATTTTTGAAAAAGCAAACAGATTCCGTCGAGGGCAGTTTAAATTAGTCAATGAAGTTAAGCCGTTCTTTTGAATAGATCTGATGATGTTAAATTGTACTTTGCCTTGTAGACCTATGCCCTATCAGCACAGGGCTATGCCCATAATTAAAATACTGATTATCTAAATTTTGTTCTAATCAATTTTCTTCTGGTCTGTTTTTTTTTTGAAAAATATTACATCAGTTATTAAACAAGAGTAAGTCCAACATTTTACCTAAGTCACGCCAGATTCTAGTCAAAAGCTTTGTTTGTAGTTCATGAGTTAGTTAAATAGCATATCTAGTCGTGTGTACTATTTTAAAGCGTGTTTTTCGCTGCCTGGTATCTATAATAGATATCTAATTTGAAAGTAGTTGAATGCAAGACGCCATGACTAAGTGATTGAGACAAGAAGATATTGGATTCTATTTTCAGCTCTTGCCTGTGTTTGCGAACTGCAGCTTGGCCTCTATGTGTATTTTAAGTTTCGTTAAGTGTCAAGGAACGTAATGAAATTACTTATAATCAGGGGCGGATCTAGGATTTTCTCGAGGGGGGGGGGGGGGGGGGCGGATATTTTTTTAGGTCGACCAAATTGATTTTCCGAGCTCTCCTAAAGTAGTAAAAAGACCCTGTTTTGGCCAAATTTTCTGCGCTGCAGGCAAATTTTCGAAAAAACAGGTAAAAAGCCGTTTTTGGGCAGTTTTTGAAAATCTTTGACAAAAAAATCGCGTTTTTTTTGGCGCGCGCTCCTCCTCAAAGTTAGTATATATTGGCGCCAAAGGCGCCTTTAGAAAAATTTAAAGGTCGGTCGGCCAAAAATTAGGTTGGCAGGGGGTCGAATCCCTGACGGGGGAGGGCGTCCCCCCCGCACCCCCCTAAATCCGCCCCTGCGTTTAATGGTGAGTTGATTTTTTTCTTCGTTCTTTGGCAGGAAAAAGTCTCAAAATGTGTTCACACCCCACCGACTTGATCTTTTGCGGTTTGATTTTTGGTTTTTAAAGTGCAATCAAACTCCTGTGCTAAAAAAGGCAAATTCCTCTCTCCAATTACGAAATTGGAAATGGCGCGTGAAAGCGTTTTGTTTCATGAGATTTCACAACTGAATAGAAAACTTATCCATTGATCCAGTGTTTTCAAGTTATGTCAATTTTATCAAGAATCAGTCGATTATAAACTGTTCTTGAATTTCAAAGAGCTATTATTCCACATATTTCTTATTAAAGTTCCATTAGTTGATTTTTTTTCATAAAATGTCAATCCGTTTTTTGTTTCCTTGCATTCGTTGACACGTTTCCAATGTTTGTTGGCTATGTTTATATGAGAAACAGAAGCGAAATCAACGCAATGGTAAGTTTTAGTAACAATAGCCGGCTGCAGCAGAGAAAGCCTCAAATAGTTTTCTTTTCAAAATAGGGCAACAGCCAAATCTCCAAGAATTAGTTATAAACATCATAGCTAGGAGGATTTGTGATATCTGGATTTACATGACAACATGCAAATCCAAAACTCTTGCCCTCTTTTGTCGCAGGAACTGAATATTTTTTCTTAATTCTTTAATAAAAATTAAGATCAGTGTTTTTTCCTTCAATGAATCTGTGACTAGAATTTTTGTATTTAAATTAGCTTAATGTTTTGAAATCTACTTGTTTGACATTGTAAGTACAACAAAACATGATATTCATAAAATTTAATTTCATTTGAAAACAATGTAAAGGTCTTACATAGAGTTGATAACCGCGAAATAGATGATCAAACCTTGTAGAAGCCGAAGCTTTTCTAACTTGGTTTTGGCTTCAAAAAGTATAAATTGACTAAAGTACGTAAGCTTAGCTTCTTAGTTCTGGTGATGCCTTCTTTATGAAGTTTTTATTGTGCAAACATTGTTTTTTTGTTTTATTGAGAAACAAAACGAAGAAAGGCGCTTTTAATTCCGTGTATCTTTTTTATCCTCAAATTTTTATCCTCTATGAGATATTTAAAAAAACACGTGTTTTAGAATTCAGTTTGTATATTTTTAATGTACTGCAACAGTTAAATTCTCTACTAAAGTCAATGTTTTAAAATCTGATGGAGCGTGAAGGCCGTAACTTGACTTGTTCCTGTCTTCGCTATGCGAACCTTTTTGTTTCAGTCTCTCTTCACCAAAAATGAATATTTGCAGACCTTTGATCGGTTGCTGTCAGGGCTCTTCTATGGGTTGCGATGTTGGATTGCAAATATGAATACAAACTTTTGCTTGACAAAATATGACAATTTTAGTGATTTAAAAACTTGTTAATTTTGGTTGAATCTGTTACTAGCATTTTTCTTCAAAAGACTTGTTTTTAAGTTAGCTTAGTGTTTTGAAATCCGCTTGTGTGACACTGTAAGTACTTCAAAATATGATATTCAATTTCATTTGAAAACATTGTAAAGGTCTTACATAGAGTTGATAACCGCGAAGCTAGATGATAAAACTTTGTAGAAGCCGAAGCTTTTCTTACTTGATTTTGGCTTCAGAAAGTTTAAAAAGATTAAATACGTAAGTTAAGCTTCTTGGTTCTACTGGTGCTTTTGTTATGAAGTTTTTTCGTGCAGACATTGTTTTTTGTTTATTGAGGAACGAAACGAAGTAAAGCGCTTTTAATTCCGTGTGTATGTTTTTCAATATCATATTTTTTCATCCTCTATAAGTTATTAAACGTGCGTTTAAGTAAACACATGTTTTAGAAAACAGTATGTCGACTCATCAAAATATTAATGTGTTTCAATGGCTAAGATTTTTACTGAAGTCTATGTTCTAAAATCTGTTGGAGCGCGAATGACGTAACTTGAGTTTTTTTCCTATCTTTGATACGCGAAGTTTTTTGTTTGTCTCTTTTCACAAAAAATGAATATTAGCAGGCGTTAGGCGTGGTTCTTTCAGGGCTCTACCATGGGTAGTGATCTTGAATTCAAAATATGAATACACAAACAGTTTTGAAAGTCACAAACCTATAGTGGATTGCTGTCAATAGGGGTTGCAATTCTTGCCTCAAAATATGACTCCTCATTTGACTTTTTTTATGATGTTCGAAAATTCCTAGAAGTTAGTTAAAAACTTCACAATGTTTGAAGTTATTACTTAAAGTTTTTAGGCTAGTGGTTACAATTTATCGAAACGAAAATTGATCTATTGATCCAGTTTTCTTAAATTCCACCCCTACTCGCCGCAAAGACTTGTGCCCATTTTGAGTTTTTGTCTTTTTTGCTCTCTTTTGCAGTTATTACTCGCTAATATTTTCAAAGCACTCGAACTGACGAATTTTGACTTCCAAAATGTTGATATATATTTTAAGCTCTAGTGTTATGTGCTAAACCATATCGGCTTAGGTCTCTTGTTTTTTGTCGTTTGAAGCATATAGTTAAAGGAGAACAGCCTTGCAAATCATTTGAAGTTCGAGTGGCTTTTAATAACCAATATCTGGACTTTCGTCTTAGTTACATTACGAATCTACTCTTTTCCAAATCAACTCGCTAATGAAATTGTCTATTTTGTGGCTTTTTTGCTGCCTTGTATTAGCAAACTATTAGCCTCTATTCTATCTCCTATTTTACTGGCTAATGTCTGCCTTTGATTAAGCAACCGTGGTGCAGATACTAGGTCGTGATATTCTTAATGATGCTAGGCCGTGAGACTCTTGTGTGGGAAGTGCAGCTTCGCCTCTGTGTCTTGATCTGTGACCAAAAAACCATCCTACAGATTTTTTGATTTTTTAAATAACAATAAAACTTCTTGGATAAATATTGATTCAGTTCATATTTGACAAAAACCCAAATAGCAGTAGAAATAATTCTAAGAATTATTTTTGATTGCAAAACTTATTCATCTCTTTTACCTATTTTTCGAACTCAACCAAAAACGGTTTCATAAAATTACTGAAGCTTAAGCTTTCAAAACTGTTCCTTTAATTTGGTGTTTTTTTTGCAAAACTAATTTTTTCAAACATTTCATTGCTCGAGTACATTTTTTAAATCTCCGGTTATCTCTTCATTGAAAAATGGGCAAATTATTTAAGGTGCGTTTTTTGTTCATTGACGCATGAAGAGTCAAATAAGTTGAATCGGGTGTTTTTAAATGACAAAAAAAACTTGACATTAATTGTGAATAAAATTTGAGAGCTAAAACTGCATGATATAATGGAGAGCATATTGAGAAAAATATTACAAATTTATTAGAAAATGGATGAGAAAATAAATGGAAGCAAAGCATTGATTACGCAAATAGTTCTGACTCTTGCGGAACCGATTGTAAGGAACGACGTGCTTTCAGCAGACTTGGCGTTGAATCTTGAATCACATTAAAAATTAGCTCGCTGTTCTGTGACGTTTCTTTCAGTGCGAACTTCGTCCGTTCTCGTGCAAACAGAGAAACACTTATTTAAAAAAGTGTAAAGAAAGATAAGTAATCATTCATGCAACGACTTTCTATTACGGAACATTGGATAACTTACAAACAAGCTTCATTTACGTCAGTTTTTGGTTGAAAAACTTGATCTGAAACAAAAGCAATATGCATAACAGAAACCTAGTTAGAGAAACGTAGTTTAACTTGCCAATTTCAATATAATTATTGTTGAAAAGAAAATATAAAGAAGGTACAAGAAAATAGTCGGCGGATGTCAAAACCCATGTCCAAAAATTTATCAGTTTCAAAGTATTTAAAATGTGAACAAATAACATTATATGAATGTTTAGGAATTTCAGTGGCGACAAAACGTAACAATACTGCTCGTATCAGGGCGAAGCCCTGAATGTTCCGACTGCCTTTTAAGGTTTATGGAGCAGTAATAACATGAAAAAATAAAATGAAATACAATAAAATGAAATTATTTTTTTTTCTAAAATTTGAAGATTTCTTATAAATTATCCCCCCCACACGCCATATAAAGTACAAAAGGATAGATTTAGTTCCTTGTAACAAATCAATTATGGCAAATAAGTTTCGTTCAACCAATTTGGAACGATTTCTAAGACGGATTAAATCTCCGCTTACGCGTTAATAGCGCGAAATTTATCGCGCGTTAATTGTCCCAAATTGGCCAAAATGGCAACCTTTGAACCCTCATAACTTTACGAAAAATGATCACAGGTGAAATATCTTTTCAAATTTAAGCTCAGGACAACAATACTTTTTGAATGATATTAAAAAATTC